TTTTTGTTTTTGTTTTCTTTTGTTTTTTTTTTTTTAAAAACAGAGTGGCCATTTTGGGAGACAAGGATAGGACAAGTGGAAAATGCTAGAGAGAGAAGGGAGGAATAAGTGGAAGGAAGGTCCCTCCTGAAGGCTAACCTGGAATTGTACAGGGAGGGAGGGAGTCTTTAAACTTTGGGAAGAGGAAACTTAGTCCACCTCCTGAGGCTGGAAGGCAGGATGAGCCTGGACTGTCACAGGTCTGGGGTAGTAGGAAGGAGCAGGTAGCAGGCCCTGGGCGCAGGCAAGTAGCCTGTTTTCTGAGGAGCAACGATGAGGAACCAACAGAAGTGCTAGACCCCATGCAGTCCGACAGGGGCTGCAGGAGACCTAGGGAGGGAAAGATTGCTGCTGGTCTGCCTGCTGGCTGGGTGGGGGTTGAGGGGGTGCTGAGTCCCCTTTCTTCCCTCTCCTAGTTTCCTAGAGTCTTCCCTGAGCCTTTCTGTTGCCCTCCTCCTACCTGGGCCCTCAAATCCTCAGCATTCCCACCTTAGGGATCCTGGCCCTGTGTTCTCAGGTGCATTATCTGCAACGTCCCATTGCCCTGTGGTGTGGCCTCAACCACTCTCTGGTGCTGAGCCAGGGCTCGGACTTCAGCAAGGAGCTTCTGGGCTGCGGCTGTGGGGCTGGAGGCCGCCTCCCTGGCTGGCCTAAGGGGAGTGCCTCTTTCGTGAAGCTCCACGTCAAGGTCAGAGCCAGGACACGCCAGCAGGCAACGGGGCAAGGGCAATAGAGCCAGGTGGCACACAGGACTGTAGCTGGGGCTCCTGCAAGGACCCGGCCCCCCCCACCCCAGCACTACCCACCTCCCTTTTCCGGCCACACACCATAGCTCCTGGCTCTCTCCCTTAGCAGACCCCGCTCACCCTCTCTGACCTTACACAACCTTGGGGCTTAGCCAGCCCTAGCTCACTTGCTGGCCCAGGGCTGGTCTGAGAGGGAGGAACACAACAGCTGGGGCTTCCTGGGAGCCCCTCAGTAAAGGCCCCTCTCAGCCACGCCCCTTCTCTCCTTTAAGGTCCCTCTGTGTGCCTGTTCCCTCTGCTCTACCAGAGAGTGCCTCTACATGCTGTCCAGCCATGACATCGAACACCATCCCACCTACCGGGACCTACCAGCCAGCAGGGTGGTGGGGACCCCCGAGCCTGGCCTGGGAGCTGGAGCACCCCAGGACCCTGGGGGGGCAGCCCGGGCCTGTGAGGAGTACCTCAGCCAGATCCACAGTTGCCCCACATTGCAGGATCGCATGGAAAAGATGAAGGAGATCGTGGGTTGGATGCCCTTGATGGCTGCACAGAAAGATTTCTTCTGGGAGGCCCTGGACATGCTGCAGAGGGCTGCTGGAGGGGTTGGCCCGGGCCCCTCAACCCCTGAGAGCTGAGCCCCTTTCCTAGTCTTACCCCTGGAGGGAGAGTCTGGCCCTGGGCCAGGAGCTAAGGAGAGTGGGATGGTAGCAATAAACATTGTATGTGCACATGGGGAGGGGTGGGAATTGCTAGGCTTGCCAGGGTGGGCAGGGAACCGTTTTGTAAAATGTTCAGGGGGCTGCCTGGGAGGGACCCCCAACCTGACTATCATGGACAAGAGATTTGATGGGCAAATAGAATAAAAGGCTGAAGTGAGGCCCTGTTTGGAACCCTGGGGCCTGGGAGGAAAATAAGGCAGGGGATGGGGGCCCCAATGCCCCCCAATCAGGAGGGCGATGGAAGGCAGGGGGATGGACGAGGAGGCAGAGAGAGCAGAAGTGGCTCAAGCATTCAGGTGCTGCTGAACTGACCACCTGAATCTTAGAGCTCTCTTTCCCCTCCCACTCCCAAGAGTGGTCCAGGCTTCTTGACTTGAAGTCCAAGCCCCACCTGCTGGAACAATGCAGTCAACATATGCTACTCGGTCCCCTTATGGATCCTCTGTCTGTCAGACTTACTCCCATCCTGAGGGGGCCACCTGCTTCTGACCTCGGTCCCTGTGAAGTCAGCCCCCTCCTCCCCTCTGTTTAACCTTCCTTCCCTCACTTTCTCCTCCATCCTCCTCCTCACTAAGAGGGATGCTCCCTTTATCCACATCTAACCCACTCCCTGATCTCCAAATATTTGGGAGGGAAAATGGGCGGGCAGAAAGAATTTTCTCCTTGGCCTAGTCTGGTCCAGGGATGCAAAGAAGACAGTAGAAATTTGAAGTGGAAAATCAGCTGGAGCAGGGGGTGGTCAGGAAGGGGGTGAGTGACTAGTTGTTGGGGGTCTAGGGAAGGACTTTCTACGGGTGCCGAGGAGGCAGGCATGGGGAGGATCATGAGGAAGGACCAGAGGCTGTGTTCACAGGATGCTTGGGTACTGGACACAGCAGGCTTCCAGATGACATTACTTGATGCCTGCATTACAGCTGAGGGTTGATGCTCCCTCTGCCCTTCGTTGCTCCACCCCCTACTTAGGTCAATATTTATGTGTCCTAGACCTAGAGAGGCCCCTGGACTCACCACTGTCCCAACTGCACTCTCCCTGTCCCGCCTTCCCCACCGCCCGCCCCGCTGGCCAGTCCCCACGCCCACACACCCGAGGCTGCCTCATCTGGCACTGATTATCCCTGCTGCTGCTGCTGCCGCTGCTAAACTCAGCTGCTGCCTCGGTCTCGAGGACCCCAGCGCCTCTCCCCCCGGCCATGCTGTCTGCTGCCACTGCCTCCCTCTTGGGGCCCCTCCTCACTGCCTGGGCCCTGCTGCCTTTCGCCCAGGGCCAGACCCCCAACTACACCAGGTAGGTCTCTTGGCACCTTCCAGATAGCTTGAGTGAGCTTCAAAAGCCCTGATTCTTGGGGGTTTTGCCTGTGGATCCTGTGGATCCTTTCACTAACACACCACCCCCCCCC